TGAAACAAAGGAATTAGTTTTATAGAGAGTTATGATAGTTTTAATCGATTCAATCATCATAATTGATTAATTTTACTAAAAATTCAATTAATTGATTATTTCGCATTTTTAATTGATTAAAACAATTTTATGTGAAAGTTGGTAAAAGAGTCTCAAGTTGTTTTAATTGAAAAAAAATGGTTTATTCAATTAAAATAGAAAGACTTTAAAATGATAAACTAAGTGTGGTGGTCTATTTTAACTAATGGAAACAAAGTTAATCATTTAAAATAAAAGGCATTGAAAATCAACTAAGTATAGAGATTCATTATAACATATTAAATTCCAATTTAATCGATTAAAGAACCTTGGTATAAATTTCATCAAGTGACCCAAGAAAATTTTGATCCATTAAAACAAATTTTAACATATTGAAACAATGAGCTTGAAAAAACAAGTGTAGATGGAAAATAATATTTTAACTGATATATTTTTTATTTAACAAATTATTTTTTTGAACCTCACTTTTTTCAAAAAAAGTGTCAAGAACATTTTAATCGATTAAAACCACAACTTAATCGATTAAAACTTCAACATATATTGGTTTAAGGTTTTAATAAAATTAATCGATTAAAATGATATTTTAATCCATTAAAATTGTGAACCAAGAACATTTAATTGATTAAAAGAATTTTTAACATATTGAAACCTCTTCACAAATTTTTAACACTTTCCTTGTGAGGCACTCTATCAAATCTTGGTAATAGATCAATTTAGAGAAGAATTTTGCTTACACGGAGATATCCTAAACACATACACACAAGACAACAACCACTCTTCAAGTTATTTTTGGCTTCATCAAATCCACATCTTCCACACTATGTTCATCAACAATTGGTGGGAAAAATAAAGGAAGACTATGTTGGGTTAGAGAGCTTGCTCATGCTCATAGTTACTAGGGTTTGTTTGATAGTCTCAAGCATCAAACTCAAGCATCCAAATCCTTAATTGATTGATTCAGAAGAGATGAATCAGTTGAACAACAATTGTTTACATAAGAAGAAGAAATTCATCGAATAAAGAGCACAATGAGTGACTAAAGCACCAACTTCAGGAGTTTTAATCCCTTATTAGTATAGTCGTTCAATTCCTACCTCCTAGTGTACAGTCTCTCATTCAACAACGCCAACACGACCTACTATATAGTCAACAATAGCAAGAGAAACCAAAACAACAAGACAACTCACAACAAGAAGACAACATATTAGAACAACACTCTTCATATTATTCCCACTACTAAATGTTTGTACAAACAATGATAGAATAATATTTGAGTTTCACTTGTATGTTTAAGCCTCTTTATAGAAACTATATAACAACCAATATCCACATTGTTGTATTTATTACCATACAAAGATATTTTGTTTTATAATGGATACTTTTGAATTAGATTTAAATTGAATTATGACTAATTTTAGTTAGTTTTTCATTAAGAGGACCCGAGGTAATATGTTGAGAAGATGAAAATCGAAAGAGTAAGGTTGATAGTGGAAACATTCGAGAATCATGAATAATATATTTTAAAATAATTACTCAATTAAAATCTCTATCAATTTATTAACCCAACTAGGTTGGTTAATAGTTCATATCAATTAAAATCTCTATCAATTTATTAACCCAACTAGGTTGGTTAATAGTTCATATGCAATTTTGTGCTCTCCTCATAATTTTTTTCTCTTTCTTTATTCACTCCTTTTTTTTTTATCTTTTCTATAGTAAGTCTCTTGTTTCACTCTTTCCTCTCCTACTTATTTTTCTAATTAAAATATTATATTAAATTTAATAAAAATATGTTAAAATAAATATTTTAAAATCAACATTGAAACTAAAAAATATTAACTAATTATTTAAAATTATAATTACAATAAATAATTTTATTTATTTTGACAATAAATAAATTTATTTACTATAACATAAATAATTAATTTAAAATTATTTTATTCTAATAATAATTACTCATCTAATTAAAAAATATCAAATATTTATGAGTTAAATGTATTTTTTATATAATAATTTAATATATTTATAATTAGGTTGAGTTATAATAATAGTTAAATTAGATAATTTAAAAACATATATATTAAAAACTTATTTCAAAATAAATATTTTTTTCTTGATAATTATAACATAACAATAGTATTTGTAAGGTCTCAAATTTATCATATAATATTTTCTCGAGAGGAAAAAAGGAAAAAAGAGAAAAAAAGAGAGGAAAATGAACACTAAATGAAGATAAAGAACAAAAAGTAAATGAACATATAAAAAATAAGAAAATAAATGAGGAAAAAGATAAAAACAATTATATTATAATTTATTTCTACTTATTGAATCTTGTGTATGAATGGGTAAATAAATTTAGAGAGATTTTATTTAAATAATTTTCTTTTTAATTATATTATTTATGGGATTGATTCACCATTAAACAAGTTTTCAAATAGAAAGAGAGACAAAGTTGTAGAGAATATCAAAGAATCAGATAATTGAAGGAAGATTGTTAATGAGAGAGAGTTACAAAGAATTCGAGATAAATACGAAATAATTATAACCTCATGATGTAATAAGAGTGGTTAGAAATGCTACATGAGATAATAGAACTACTCGGAAAAAAAGGAGAAAAAAATGGTTAATAGGAAAAAATTATTTTTATTTTTAATTTATTTATTTTTACTTTTAGCGAGTTACAAATAATAATTATATAAATAAGAATAAATAAGTGAGAAAAACGACAATGACAAATTATATTAAGATATATACTTATGTTCGAAGAACAGTGTGAACATGGGAAAACTATTTAGAATTATTTCCAGTTTGGGTTACAATTTTCATTGATTTCCTATATCAATTTCTATTTTATCCTTGATAATTTACATTTCAAACATTTTATATTTTCTGCAATTTAAGTTCAGTATCTTTTATATTTGTATGTCATTTATCTTTCCATCAATCTACCCTTTATTGTAATTTACTTTTCTGCACTCCAAAATTTGTAAGTCTTTAAAATTTATGGTTAAATTTTAATAAAGTATTGTTAAATAAATATGTCTCAAATAATACTAAAAGTTTAAATTTATAATAAGAATAATTTATAAGTATTTTTGTCAAATTAATATGTAAAATATTTTTAATTAAGTTGACTCGTATTAATGTTAAGTGTTCCAAATTTAATTAAAGTAATCTTTATTTAAAAAAATTACTTATTAATTTTGACAAAAGGAACTCACAAGTGATAATTTATTTATATTAAAAAAATTAATTTGAAAAAAATTTATTAAGTGTATCAAACCATTTTTCTTCATAATAAGGTTTTACATTTTTAACCAATACAATGGGTAGAATTTCATCGTTTTTCAAATTGAATATAAAATCTCCAAGATGAACAAAATTGTTGGGTGATACTTTTAGTATCTCTTGGATGTGTAGGTTAAAATTAAATATGAGGTGACACATATCTATTTTCTATATTATATTTTTTTATAGTTAACTTTTAATTAGTTGATGAATATTTCTTTAAGTATTTATTTTTTCAAAATTACTTAATAAATACTATTAGAATCTATGATTTATTTTGATAACCAACCTAAATGAATATGAAATAGAGTGTGTAATGAATTTTAAGATTATGAATCCCTTAAATCAAAGTCTTTTAGACAAGGAGTTACAAATTTTACGGTAAATAATATTACAAAGTCAAGGTCGGAATAACTAATGTTATAAATAAGTATTGCGTGTTCTTGGTTAATAAATATTTATGTTAAAGAAAACGTACATCAATATGAATATGAGAGACATGAAAGAAATATTATCAAAGTTATGTATGAGAATATAAAAAACCATGATTAAAAGAACTCTCAAATATATTATCTTTGTTTTAAATATTTTCTTTTTCCGCTTCTCACATGGTATCTGGATAATTTTTTCTTCCCTAAGCAATGCTATAACATTTAATGTGCCTATCCAAACATAGAAGCTAAGTCCTAATGGGAAGTTCTATACGGTACAGATACAATAAATTTAGTCACAACGTTCTTCCTATGTAAGCTTGACTAGAAACAAATGTTGAGCACTTATTTAATACTATCAAATAATAATCAAACAATTCTAAAGATTATTTTATCCTTATTTTCTCACTAATTAAACATTAGTCCATAATCAAAACGCCCATTTAGTGATAAGAAGAATAATCGAAATATCCTGTCCTCTAATTACACATTACGTAAAAGCTAGTTCTTTCTCGTACGCATTTTTTTTTTTTTAAACGCAAGTTTGTGGTGAATAATATTGGAGCAATAACTATTTGTCTCTTTAAACTTTATTTCGAATTGAAACTTTTGTAGTTGTTATTCTTTGCTTTTGATCCCCTTGTTTGTTTGATGGTTTTTCAGCGTTGAAGTTGTTATAGTGTTGGTCATAAGGAAAACAACATGTTTCATCTAACATCACTTTATTTTTGTTTATACTTTAACAAAATTTTGTTTTTTAGTAAAAACTTTGCTCACATTTTAAATGGGATGCCAATTTCTTTTTAGTAGTAATAGTTTTTGTTTTTATTTTCTAAAAAAGATGTTTTATTCAATAATAATAAGTTTGACAATGAGTATACGGCAACATCCATTAAAACTCATTAATGTTATATTTATTTTTGTCCTAAATGATCATAGTATTTACAAAAGTATTTAAAAACACAAGTTTTAAATATACATTATAATTATTTGGTAAATGTCTTGTCCAGATTTTTATTTAATATTCAATGTATACGAAGAATGTAGGAGGAAACAATGGAAAGAAAAAAAGGAAAAACATTTACCTCTTAAATCAACAAATCATAAAAGAACACAAAATGGAGTCTGAATTTTACTGGGAAGAAGGAATCAACGCCTGCTCTGAAACACAAAGCTGTCTTTTTCAAGAGGTGGACTATGCAGTACAGTCTACAGTACTTGCATGCGTCTTGCCACATCCTATCAGGGCCTGGACGATTCACCATTCGCCACGTCATCAAGGTCCTTTTGAGCTATAAATGAGGCGACTGAGACGAGATCACGGTCGGCATAATCAACGGTCCAGAATGAATCTACAACGGCTCGCTCGGCCGAGAAGCAGCGTAATATTCCCCTAAGACAGTTCGACACCACGGTCCTCGAGCACGATTCGTTCTCTCTCGCCATTCCCAAGATAAAGCAACCAACACAAAAGAGAGAGAAAAGGAAAAGAAAGAGAGAGAGGGAAATAAGCAGAAAAAGCGCGAGGAGAAGAAGAATAACAAAGTCACTCTTCCGATGAAGTTAATCGGCGACGGAGCCGGTGGCCGGAAGGTCCTCGTCGGAGTGAAGTTAGATCCTCGCAGCCGCGAATTGCTGACGTGGGCGCTTGTCAAGGTGGCGGAGCCCGGCGACCTCGTCATTGCGCTTCATGTCCTCGACTCAATCACTGGTTTCTCTCTCTCTCTCTCTCTCTCTCTCTCTCTCTCTTATTTCTCTTTCTAACTCTAACTCTGACGCCAGTTTCGTTCTTAATCTGAATCGTGATTTTTGTTGTTGCAGAGGGAACGGCATCGCTGCTATCTCTCGTGAAGACTTTCGACTCCGTTCTCGCTGTTTATGAAGGCTTCTGCAACCTAAAACAGGTTAGTTTCACGTGAAATGAACGTATTCGGTTTCGAAACTCACGGTTTTTGTGTCGTTTCAGGTTGGGCTGAGGCTTAAAGTGTGTCGCGGTGACTCGGTTCGGAAGGTTCTGGTACAAGAGGCCAAGGCGTTTGGCGTTTCCACCTTGATTTTGGGAACGTCTAAGTCTCATCACACTATTCGTTCTTCTGCGTGGGTTGCGAAGTACTGCGCGAAGAAATTGCCGAAGTGTATTTCTGTTTTCTCTGTAGATAATGGAAAAATTGCTTTCCGAAGAGAAGCTAATGGAAATTGTAGTAATCGAGGTTTTGTTTTAATTTCCTTTCTTTCCTGCGTTTATTCTGTTTTAGTTCGCGCGTTGTTATTTGATAATGTATGCTTTGTCTGTGAAATGTGTTTTACTTTTGTAGTTAGGTCAGAAAATTTTGAGACTGATAGAGTTTTACTTTCGTGGCAGAAAAAATACGCGAAGGGTCAAGTTTGTCGCCAAAGTCGTTGGTGGTTTATACAAACAAGAATATGAAGAGTTGTGGAAGTTGTGCATTGCAAGAGATTTCTGGTACTGAGTTTGAACAAGGGTTATGTGATGATGTTGAGAAGGACAATTCGCTTGCTTTGGTTCCGTTTAAGAAACTTGATGATACTCCTTGTTTATCTGTTGTGGGGAATAATTCGAAGCATAAACCTGGCTGGTCACTGCTTCGCAATGTATTTCATCACAAGAGGCATTCCCCAAAATCTTCCACGAAAAATACATATGTTTTTCAACGGGCGTTGCGGCAGCCGAATTTTCATTCATCTGCTGTAGTCCATCCAGATCATAAACAAATTAGTATTGAGCAGATTGATGATTCCCCTCTCGATGGGGTGAGTGGTGCCATTGTTCCATTTGGATCTGCTACTACTGTTACTCCTCCCTCCATTAACTATGAGATGGGTAACCTTCCTGAAGAATTGTTGGTATTACAAGAAAAGTACTCATCTTCGTGCACATTACATAGTTTGCACGAACTTGTATCTGCAACCTCCAACTTCGCACCAGGTTAGCTTTCACTGCTTCAAATTACGTTTTCTAGTTTTTGTCCTGGTTGTTTGCTTGGAGTTTCATCTGATAGGATTTCTTTTCTTAATTGCGTTTTCAGAGAATTTGGTTGGCAAAGGTGGTTGTAGTTATGTTTACAGAGGATGTCTTCCAGATGGCAAGGAATTGGCCGTGAAAATTTTGAAGCCATCTGAAACCGTGATAAAGGAGTTTGTGCAGGAAATTGAGATCATTACAACTTTGCGCCACAGGAACATAATATCTATATCTGGCTTTTGTTTAGAGGGCAACCATTTGCTACTAGTTTATGATTTCTTGTCGAGGGGAAGCCTAGAAGAAAACCTTCATGGTAGATATATATCTGGCTATTTTTTCAAGGGATAGCATAAATCTTTCATTTTCTAATTTGTCTTTCTTGTACTTTCTGGCAAGGCAACAAGGCGGACTGTAGTGGATTTGGTTGGCAAGAAAGGTACAAGGTGGCAGTGGGTGTAGCCGAGGCACTGGATTATCTGCATAATGGCTGTGCTCAGGCTGTAATCCATAGGGATGTGAAATCTTCTAATATCCTTCTTTCAGATGATTTTGAGCCTCAGGTATCGTAATATATTTTCTTCCCTTGCTTAGTTTGGTGGTGACATTGTTACCCTTTGAAACATTTTCCACTTGATTTCAGTAGTACTTGTCCTTAAATCCATATGTTTCTCTTCAGCTTTCAGATTTTGGACTAGCTAGTTGGGGTTCATCTTCTTCCCATGTTAATTGTACCGATGTAGCGGGAACTTTTGGGTGAGTAGCATCCCTCCTGTTCCTCCTTTGGCTTGTGAACAAGTTTTCACTTTTGATTTGCTCTTCTGAACAAGTTTTCTCTGGCAGATACCTCGCACCGGAGTACTTTATGCACGGTAGAGTGACTGATAAAATTGATGTATATGCTTTTGGTGTTGTACTCCTTGAGCTTCTCTCAAACAGGAAGCCCATTAACAACGAATGTCCAAAGGGGCAGGAAAGCCTTGTTATGTGGGTAAGTTTTTCTTTCTCGCTTGTACGCATGTAAGATTGCTACAGCACCGTACTCAAATAAATGAAATGTGTACGAATATAAGAACAAAACTTCCTACATGTGAATATACAGGCAACACCAATATTGAAAGGTGGGAAGTTTTCCCAGTTGCTTGATCCAAATCTAGGAAGTGAATACGATGATTGCCAGATGAAGAGAATGATTTTGGCTGCAAGTCTCTGCATCAGGCGGGTACCTAGATTGCGGCCTCAAATCAGCCTTGTAAGTCTTTTGCCCGTGCAAAGATGCTCCATTCCATTTGTCCCTCCTTTTACATCCGTCTGGATAACAGTCATGTTTTTTCAATGATGCAGATATTGAAACTTCTGAGAGGTGATGAAGAGGTGACAAGATGGGCAGAACAAGAAATTAATGCACCAGAGGAACTTAATGGTTTTGATGAGGAACCAGTTCCAACTAACATTCAGTCCCACCTGAACCTTGCTTTGCTGGACTTGGAGGATGATACGGTTTCTATCAGTAGTACTGAACAGAGTGTCTCTTTGGAGGACTATTTGCAGGGAAGATGGAGTCGCTCTTCAAGTTTTGACTAGTTCGTTTCGATACATATTGGAATCCATTGTTTGCTTCATATATTATGTTCGTTTCTCTTAGGTTAGATTTTTATTTCTGCGGTAGCTCAGATTGGGTCTTGGAAGAGTGGTCCAACGGCAAAAATTTCTGCCCCCCTCCTTGACTTTGTAGTTACATTTCAATCTGTATTCCAAAAAGCTTTTAGCAGTAGAACACATGTTGGTGAGCTTTTGCGCTTTCGGGAGCAAATTCTAACGGGCTAATTCTGAAAAATTTTGTAAATTACATGTTCCACACTGAGAGAACGATGTCTTAGCTGTTGTCACGGCGCTGAGACACGGCGTGTTCTTTTTATCTTTTTTTTTAAAGAAAAAGAAAAAAGAAACTATTTTCCATGTTTCTTGGTGTGAAATTAAGAACAAACTGATATGTAAAATTTCATTTGAAGGTTATCTTCATTGGATTTACATTCTATTATTATAGATGCAAATATATAAGCATATGTATGGAGCGAAGCACATTATGTTTAAGCTAATAAATTAAAAATGTACGTTTGGGCTGAATCCCACTGGTTTTTTCCTGTGCTGAGTAAAAACTTGGACATTCAGGTCATCTAAACTGTAAAATAGGAAAGTTATTTGGTAGAGTATGTCACCTTACTTGGATATTTACGCTCATACATCACGTTTGGATGATTTGGAAAAGTGCTCCAAATGTAAACCAAATTTGTGGACATAAAGGGCAAGATTTTTCGGAAAAGTGTTCCAACCGCAAATCAAAATTAGTATTGACGTGGACATAAAAGTCTGGGTCATAAGAAGAAAATGAAGATCTAATTAAATATTTAATGGATCAATTACTGAATAAAAGCTTAGGAGGGTTTTTTTTATGATAGGTCAAACAGCCAAAGGTTCAAGATGTTGAGGAGGCTAAGTTAGTTATATCTATAATAGGCTTGGATTGCAAATAGATTTGTATTGATGCGGACATAAAAGTTCAAAATTATGAGAAGATGATTTGGAAAAATACTTCTGCTGCAAACTGAACTCTTATTAATGTGAACATAAAAGTCTAAGATCATTAGAAAAAAAGATAAAGATTAAATTAAAGATTTAATTAGATTAATTAGAAGAAGGGTTAGAAAGCATTAAGAAAAGGTGATTCTTTTGTGGGAATTTCAACCGTCAAAGACATAAGATGTATATATAATAAGTTTTTTTTTTTAAATTGCAACTGTCAAAAGGCCTAATACGTTGGGAGGTTACGTATATAACGTAGTAGGCTTGGACAGTTAAAATAAAAATATTTTATTTTTTTCAAAATATTTGAATCATTAATTTATAATCTATTTAGTCTTCGAGACAAATTAGTCTTGTAGTTTTTTTTTCTTTTTATTTAATTACAAACAAAGTCAAATCTTAAGAAAATTTTAAATTTGTATTTATGATTAATAAATTTAAAAAAGAGGGAACATATTATTTTTATCAAAATGATAACATCTTTTTTTAGGATTCTTTATTATATCTTTGATCTTATTAATAATTTGCCAATTCTTACGACGATTATTTTTATACTTATCAAATTTGTAAGTTATTTGTTAACCAAATTATTTTATTTTATTTCTTATTCCTCATTTTGTTGTTTGATTTATTTGATTCCAAAATCTAAACATCAATTTTTCATTATTATTTCTTTTGTAATCATATCATGTATTCTCTTTCAGGTTTATATTAACGATTGTGTCTCTAAAGTTGAATGTCTTAAAATTAACCTTATCAACCTATGATATGTTATGTTATTTATAAGTTACAATTTAATCTTTTTTTATCTCTTAAATTCAGATAAAATTGTTTTTTTTTAAATTATAATATTTTTATTTTAAGATATTGTCTGAATTCTTTT